GAAATTATCACCGCGGATGCTGACACGGTGGAGGGAGTAGACTTAACCGGAATTGATGCCTTAGGAACTAACCGATTAAACCGCCTAATCGCCTTACGCAAAATCTTCCTTGATCGAGCGGCAATCTTAGGGAATATAGCGAACGCTACTGAAGCGAATGTCAATACGGTTTATGGTGAATTAAACGCCTTCCAACAACACGCTGCCAACTCGGCCAATGCCACTGCTGAGGGTCATAGTGGTTGAGCTTGAGAACAATACATCGCACAAGTTCCCGCCGCCACTACCCAATTTAATGATTTAAGAAATAGAGTTGATGCTGATGAAGCAGCTCGCAAAGCCCGAGAAGCGGCTGAATTAGCCACTGCCAAAACTGATGCTAAAACAGCAATCGAAAACAGTCAAAAGGAAACTGGTAAACCGAAAATAACTGATCCCGAGTTGAATAAGCACTTAAAAGAGATAGATAAAGTTCTCGATGATGCCACTACTACTTGACAGGCTTATATTGAAGCGGCTGGAAATAAAAATGAACTAAATAACCGGCAAAAAACAATTGCCGATGCTATTGCTACACTCCGGAAAGCCAAAGAACCTACTCCTTTTGAGGCGGCCAAGGCTCGTGAGCAAGCCATCACAACCATCAAAAATCATTGAAAATCCAAATCCCACGACCAAACCGAGGATGGCACCATCAATAGTCAAAAAATAACCGAACTTTTAGGTGCTAATTGAGAAAATGAGTTTGATGATAAAAACACCCAAACCGAGATTGATAGCAAAAAAACTGAATTAATCACTAAAATTGATGCTGCCAAAGCCCAAGAAAAACCCACCCCCGAGCAAAAAGCCGAGGAAGTGAAAAAGGTAATCAGTGAGATTATTGCGGATAGTGAGATTGAAATTCCCTCCGCGGTAGTTAGTTCTTGACAAGCGTTTGATAATGATAACTCCGAGTTAAAAACCCCCGAACAAATTAAAGAATTCATTACCGAGAGTGTTCCGGAGCAGGAAAAAGAAGAATTTGTTAAGCATTTAAGTGAGTTGACCGAGGTCGAAAAACCAACTGGTTCGGGTAAAGAAGAGCAATTTAAGAACTTTATGGCACAGCAAAAGGCTGAAGTGGTAGTCAAAGCCGTTTGTAGTTATAAATTGAAAAAAGATGATAATTTGCGGAATGAAATTGCCACGGAAATGGAAACTAAAAAGGATGCCGAGGGACAACTATTAGATGAAAAAGTTTATCCAAAAAAGGATGGTAAATATACCCCAGAGGCGATGGTAAAATATCTTTTTGAGAAAAAAACTGGTCAGGCTCATGCCTTTTCGGCAAAAAGTAGTGGGAACCAAAATTCCCCAACCAGTCCAAAAAGTCATTGAGACAAATACAAATATTGATATATTTGCGGAGGAGTATTAGTGCTCTTAGTGGCTGGATTAGTGATAGCGTTTTGAGATAAGTTGACTGGTTCCCCAGAAAAGGAGGAATAGTTAAGATTATTCGGATTAATTAGCAAATTGCAGAAAATTGAAAAAGGAGGAGAATTATACTCAAATAAAACTTGTTATTATGGTTCCCAAGGCTCCATTATGATAAAAGTTTAAAATTTTTATTCGCCAAGCCAAAACGGAAACGGAAACGGAATTAAAAAGCCATGCAAGCAATTCCCGCCCTAAGATAATCCCGCTGTCGCGAAAAAAGTCAAGCAAGCGAGAAAGAAAGTTAAAAATTTCCCACCCCATATTCTTCTCCGCTTGCTGAACTAAAAATAATAATAATATAATATGGTTCAATTCAAGACTGGAAAAGTTGGTCGAAAATTTCTCAAAGTAATGGCTATCAACCACAATTTCGAATCGCTACAAGATCCAAGTATTCAAAGCCTCGCTGACCTTATTAATCTTGATGGTTCTCTGCCGAATAATAAAAATAGTTTCAAATATTCGGTGTATAATCCCTGCCACTACCCCCGAATGGCAAATGAGATAATGGAAAAATTATTTGCCTCCCAGAAAAGCAAATTATCAGAATTAATCACCGAATTGGAAAAAGAAGAGGCTTCTTTAATCACCAGTGCCCAGCAAGAAGTAAAGAACACAATAGACAGTTGTAGAAACAACCCCCACCAAACCGACATGGAAAAAAAGGAGACTAATATAGTTTGTGAGATTTTTGAGAAAATTCCGGCTTGTGCTTTAAATTTATTAGTTTTGATTAAAATTAAACCCGAATACTTTCCGCAAAGTTATATCTCTTTTGAGCAAATGCTAAATGATTTTAACCGGGAGGACGGAGGAAGATATTATGGTCAAGATGAGATAAAAGGATATTTTTCGGAAGCCTTGCAGGAATTAGAAAAATTGGTAAAAAAGACTAAAAAAAAGAAGGAGGAACCCATGGAGTCCCCTCAGCCGACACCAGCCAATCAAGACCAGCCAGAGGAGGAAAAAAAAGATACTCCTACTAATTCGGGCGAAAACCCCGCCACCCCAAATAGTCCAAAGGATCAAACCCCGAAGGAAACTAACGAACCTCCCCCTAATTTGGCTAATTTACAAGCCCTTAAAGACCAAACTATCTCTGAAATTACCGCGGCTCTCAACCAAATTCCTCCCCTAACTAATTCCGATTTACCCTCGGAATACCAGGACTGAGAAAGTCAAATTAACCAGTTTTCAGATGAAAACCAAATTAATTTGTTCCAAAAAAGAATGCTCCGTGACATTCCACTTTGGAGGAAGGAAAAAATAAGAAAACAAACCACAGGCGAAGTTAGCGAAATAATAAACTCTAACTTCCAAAAAGCCCAAAATCCTAATGCTACTATTCAGGAAAAAAAGGAGGCATTGACCGACATTGAAAAATACGAAGGACAGTGTGCTTATGAAGAGGCCAGGGTTAAAGAAAAAACCAAAAACCTTAAAAAAGAAGTGGCACAGGACAATCCGGCTGAATATCGTAACAAAATAATTTCTGGCTTAGATATTAAATTAAAATACAGTTTGCTTACTAAGGAAGAATTAGATAATGAGACGCAAGCCTTATTCAAAGAGTTAGAGGAAAAGAAAATTTCTGACCCTTCCCAGTTAGTCGAAACCGAATTAAAAATTACTGAAAAAATTGGGCAGGCAGGAGCCACTAAAAAGATAGATATTTTTAAAAAGAAAGTCAAAAAAGTTTTAAAATCCAACAACAAAACTGAAATAGAGGAGTTAAAAAAGCAACTAACCGAGTTTATCAAAAGTAATAATTTTTATTATCAGGCTAAAAAAGGGGAAGTCCAACAACTATTACGGAAGTTGGAAAGTGGTTTAGTTAATAACTCCCATTTTTCCGAACCTTTGCCCTTTTCGGCCCAAATAGGAATCGGGATGGGGGCAGTTTTAGTAGTATTATTTTTTACAGTTCTAATTTACAATGCTAATCTAAAAAAAAGCAGATAGATTTTTTTTGAAACAACTAATTATTACTCTACAAAAAATTAATGTCAGTCTCAAAACATTTTTTAAAATACTTAGTCATGTCTTTTTGATTGAGCATATTTATAATTTTACTGATTACTAATTCTAAATCTTGTTTAGTCTTAGGTTTATGTTTTTCTATCTGTTGCCTTAAAAAGTTAAAACATAGTTCGGTTGGATTCAATTCTGGAGTATAAGGAGGCAGATATTTCGGTTCTACTCCTTTGTTTGCTAATAATTCTCTAATAGTTGATAATCCTAACTTCTGGCAAGACTTAGTTGCTCGATGAACTCGAGCATTATCCATCATCAGATAATTTTCTTTGCCTTTTCAATCAAGGCTCGAAAGAAACCCATGAAATTCCTTGCTTTTTGCTCCTCCCTCAATCAATTCATAACCAAAAACGCCATTTTTCTCTACATTCTGAATACATAAAATCAAGGTATAACTAGCACTTCTTTTTCCCATTCTCTGCGAAACTGCCCTTTTTCCCTTGGTGGAATAAGCATAACGAGGAGACTCGCCTAATCTAAACGAACATTCATCCAAGGCATAAAAAGGTAGGCTTAGCAATGGTTTTATTTCTTGCTTAAACTCTTTATTTTTCTTATCTGACCTCTCATAATAGTGATAAGTTATTTTCTTTCGAGTAATCTTGTGCTTTTTTAGAGTATAAGAAATAATTTGCTGGCTAATCATTATCCCAGTTTCCTTAAACAAGTAATCTGATACTTCTTGTTGAGTTTTAGTGTTATTCTTACTCACATAATCAAGTAGAATTACAAGAATGTCATCCGTGATTATAGTCTTTCGACCTCTTTTATTGCTGGTTTTATTAGTTCCTTTCTTCCTACGATAAATAGTTCTTTAATTGGTATATTTCTCCAATTCGGCAATGAGAAAGACCTGCTTGATGCAATCTAACTATTTGCTCTTGTTTTAAGTTTGTATTTCTTTTATTTATAAACATATCTATATAAACACATAAAAAAGTAAAAAATAAATATTAGTAGTTCCCTCTAATTTTACAGACGTAGTTTCGCATAGTATTTCGTTTAGTAGTATTTTTTACGCTTCTTAAATACTCCGTTTTTTTGTTGTTGTAGAAATTTAGCAAGCATCCATCACAAATAAACTTATCTTTGTTACTTTTATCTTCAGTTCATCATTCTCAATTGTTCTTATTGGAGTAAGTTTTTTTTGGATAAATGTATTTGACTATTATCTTATCCTGGCACTGATAACAGTTCTTTTCTAAATTAGGAACTTCTTTAAACATGTTTATATAGAATTGTTTATATATATTATTTTAAGATTAACAAAACCCTATTATTAAAATTATCGGTTAAATTTCTCTAGTTCTTTTTCAAAGTCAGTGGAAATATTATTTCATAATCCTTTCATTGTGTTTTCTAAATATTCTCAATCTGGTTCATTTCTTTCGTTTTGAGGTAATAATATTTTTGTTTCCAATATATCCTCTAAGATTCAAGCTCTACCAAAAGAATATCTAAACTTTTCTAAGTTAATTATGTTACAAAGAAAAAATGCTAAAAATTCATTCATTTCTTTTCCAACTAATCGCAAGATAAAAATGTGACTATTAGCATAGAAGTCAAAGGGCTGTCAAAAGCAAGAACCAATCGAGCCGTCTTTAGCAATAGTTATGGATTTTCCTTGGTTTAACCACTCTTTATCTTCAACAACATAATTAACTGTTCCGTTATTTATTCCACTAGAAGAAACGACTGGATAAGAAGACTTAGGCTTGATTCAAGAAAATTTATAATCAGAAAGGGTTAAAGGAGTTTTTATCCGTTTAATTTGAAAATACCTTTTATTTCCCAAGCAGAATTCACTTCAATTAGCGGGATTAATATTAACTTTTGCTCTCTCTCTCTCTCTCTCTCTCTCTCTCTCTCTCTGTTGGTTCTACTAATTCTAAAATGTCTTTTTTTACTTTTTCGTATATTTTCTTGCTGTAATTTTCCATCCATGATCAGTCTGGCTCGCCTTTTTCATTTATAGGCAAAAGTATTTTTGAATTTCGCATTTCTTCTAAACCTCATTTTCTTCCCCAAGAATAACGAAAGCGCTCCATCTTGATAATAGAACAAAGAAAAAAAGCAAGACACTCATTTAAATCTTTTTCAACTAACTCACAAATAGTTACATCATTAGTCGAACAAAATTCTCATGGTTGAAAAAAACTTTCTCCAATTGATCCATTATTAGCTATGGTTATTACTCTCGGGGGATACATTCTACCTCATTCTTCTACCTCCTTTTCATAAAAAGCGGTTATTCCGTTGTTTTCCTTAGAAGATGAAACAACCGGAAGCACAGAAGTAGATCTAACAAAAAAAGTGGAAGAACAAGAGGGAATTCTCCCTTGTGCACGATAAATCTTAAAATACTTCTTATTTCCTAAGGAAAAGAATTTTCAATTACTAATATCCAATTTATTCATTTTACTCTTCTTCTAAAACCGAGATCCGAAATGCTAAATAATCTCGGATAGTTTTTTCAAAATGCTTTTCCGTTAATTTAGTGTAATCAGTTTCAACATAAGCTTTAGCTAATCAACAGTCTTCTCAATTTAGTGCTTGAAAAACTGAATTATATTTATCTTTTTTACAAATAAAATGATTAACTCATTGTTTTTTTACTTCTTTTCATTTATTATGTTTATCAAACCTTTTTCCTTTTAAAATTACAAATCCATCATCTTTCCAATTAGTTAATCTAGAAGTCTGAGATAAAATGGAAGAGGAAGATATAAATGAAAATGAATAGAGAAGAATATTTTGATATAAAACCTAAAAAAGGGCAAATTTGGTTAATAAAATTCAAAAAAATTGAAGATAATAAACCCATTAGACCTTGTGTAGTAATTAGTAATGATGTGCAAAATGAGTTTGATGAAAGAATAGTTGTAGCAGGAACAACTACTGAGAGCATAGAAGAAGTTGGAGAAACTGAAGTATTTATTGAGAATGCTCCTGAAACAGGCTTACATAAACCAAGTAAAATTCTTCTTAGTTATCCTCGAACTATCCGTAAAAGGCGCTTAAAAGAAAGTGAATTATTAGGAAAAGTTAGTCCAGAAATAATGAAAAAGATTAAAGCGGCTTGAATAGTATCTTTTGATTGAGATAACTTCTGAAGCAACTAACATTTATTAAGAATTAGGTGTCAATTATGAAAAAAATTAGCGTAATTTCACACCCCCACAATCATACTTCCATAAAATAATAACATATATGCTAAAATCACGATTAAAAGAAAATAAAAAAGTAAACTGCTTTCAATGCCAAGCAGAGATAACTGTTAAATACAATTATCCCCTTAAAGATTATTCTCAAATCAATAATTGAGGTTATTGAACTGAGAAAGAAGAAAACAAAAACAAATACATTTGCAATTCATGCTTAAAGAAACTTTACTATGAAAACAAAAAAGAATACTGGAAAACTATCACTAATGAAAGAAAAAGAATGCGAATGAGAAATCACATCTATTCTCTAACTAAATAAATTATCCAAATATACTTACATAAATATAAAGACATATGAAACTAAAAAAACCAACTCAAAAACAAACAGCAATTGTTTTTGGAGTAACTGATAGGACTATTAGAAATTGAGATAGAAAAAGAGAACTGAATAAATCTCACCTAGAAATAGGAAGAAAGGGAATAATTAAAGATCCTAGGTTACAAACCTCTTTGAGGCGTTACAGTTCTTTTCTTAAGCGAGATATCCTTTCAACTCAACAAGATGTAGTAGATTGCATCTTTCAAGAAACAGGCAAAAAAGTTAGTCAATCAACTGTTTCTCGGTTTTTAAACCAGTGAGGAATTGCTTATAAAAAAATTAGTTATCACTACGATGAACAATTAAGAGCCGAAAATAAAGAAAAAATTAGGAAGTTTATCGAGAAAATTCCTCTTTTATCTAAATCTCCTGTTTTAGCAATTGATGAATGTTCTTTCCATTTAAACGAAGTTCCTAGATATGCTTATGCTGCTAGAGGAATGAGAGCTAATCGTAGAAAACCTAGTTGACCAGGAGAAAATCATACCTTAATTTTATGTGTTCAGAATGTAAAAGGGAGAAGAGTAGTTAAATGGGAACTAATCCCGGGAGGCATGAAAACAAAAGACTTTCATAAATTCATTTCTAATCTTAATCTTCCAACTAATCAAAAGTGTTATCTCTTATTGGATAATCTTAAAGTTCATCATGCTACTAAATCTTGTCAGAAGTTAAAATTGTCAACCATTAAGGGATTAATGGCAAGTAAAAACATCATTCCTGTTTGCCTCCCTATACTCCTGAATTAAATCCCGTAGAACTATGTTTCAATTTTTTAAGGAACAATACAGAGAAGAAGAAACCAAGAACTTTTGAGGAATTAAAGGCCTCCATTGATAAGGCAATAAAATTATTAGAACAAGAAGATTTAACTAAATGATTTCAACATTGTTGAGATTATTTTAAAGTTGAGGAGGATGAAAAGACAAGAAGAAAAACAGTTAATTGAGCAGATCCCCTAATTCGTCAAGAGATGTTTAAAGCATTGGCACCATGAA